AAAATGTATTTTATGTACTATATATGTGTGTGTGTGTGTGTGTGTCTGTCTGTTTTGTTTTTTTGCATTATATGCATAAATATGCCTGTATGCTATTTTCCAGATAACAAAATTGATGTGCACATTTTAAAACTGATTTTAAAAGTTTGTCATAAAAAAAAATCTTCACACAGGTTTGGAATGATGACAGAATTTTCGCTGGGAGTCTTTCTGCAGGAATACTGAACATAAACAGCCCCAAATATTACAATAATACAATTTACAAAGGTCACAGTCCAGGATCGGTTCACTGTTACTATCATTTACATCACTGAACGTGAAATTCTGTGTGAATTAACGAGCCACTCAACCAGTCGCGTGAGTTTAGAGCGGGACTATCAGTTTAATTCTATTTCTTTTCTTTCTCTTTGTTAGTCTGTCTTTTCCTCTTTGTCTCTTACATTGATGAGCTTTACAAATACTTTTCTCCTGGATGCACTCAGGCTCTGTTGTCATGGTAACTGTGCTGAGAGCACCCGCCAATCATCCTCTCACTCCGCAGGCCACGCCCCCTCATCCAGGCCTGTTTCTCTTCATTACAGCAGCAAACCATCGCTTCAGCCCTAATTGGTTCGTTGGGTGTTTTGACCACAAATGCAGATGAGCCACATCCTTGAGGTCACACCAGCAGGGCATGATGAGATATACACAGAGAACTATATGTGACGCGACACTGTATAATTGCTTTGTGAGGTTAAGAGGGCAACTGCAAATGTGCGAGGTGATTTTTAACAGAGCGACATGCAAATATTGCACGATGAGAGAGAAAATGAGAAAATAGAGTGTGATAATCATGTCAGCATCAAGATAAACAATTACCCATCAGGCAGACTGATTTAATTCAGTGTTTACACAGCTGCAAATTTAGTTATACATCATCAAATTATCACACCGTGTGCTGAAATCACAACAGCAGCGGAGGACACGCATAATCTTCCTCAAAACACTTATATTCAGATATTACTAACACGCCGCTTATAATTAATACAAAAACCCTGTTATTTAGATTAAAATATCACACTTCAACAAATACAGTATCACTGTTTCAATCACAGTATCAATTTTAGTATCACTGATATACTATAATAGTTTCTATTCATATTTTTGGAATTATTCATTTTTATTCTTATATTTTTCGTTTTCCTTTTAATTTTAGTTAAATTAGGTAATAGATTTGTGGATGTTTTTGTCTTTTTCATTAACTGTTAAATTATATATATTATGTTCATTTTTATTTAAGTTTTAGCCTTAGTTATTTTAGTACTTTATTAGCTTTAAAAAAAAAAAAATATAATCCCTTACATAATGTACAGGTAGTTCCAAGTCAGTTTATTCACTGTTCTATATTAATGCGCTGCTTTAATTGATGCACACACACACACACACCACTCGCACACAAAAACACAGTGAGAGGGAGAGAGGTTGGAGATCGCAGATTTCGCTGCACACACACAGAAACTTATTGTCGGTGCATTAACTAATAAAATAGCATAGATACTAGATGGCTACATTATTTAT